AGGGAACGACTCGAGAGACAGTCCATAGGGTTCAAATATAGAGGGAAAGTGCCCATGAATAAGAGTGCACCCCCTTTTCCAATCGGTTAAGGGTCTTGGGATATTTGGGGTTAAGCGTCCTTGGGTTTGAATAGTACTGGGCTGGGTGACCTCCCGGGAAGTCCAAACTTAGGAGCTTACACCATGATGTCCGTTACTAAGATAAGTGTGATGAAGTTGGTCATACTTATCGGCATTGTCGGTGCTTTCCGGATTGGCGAACTCCATTTCTTGGGTGGAGACCTTGGCGTCAGCAACGTCCCGTTGGTGCTGCTGAAGTGGAAGGTTTGGAAACTGAGACCGGGAAACGAGGAGTTGCACGAGTAATGGAGGGACTTTGCGCGAATAAGTTAGTGACCCCTCCATCTTTCTTTCAGAAGTATCATCAAGGGGTTCACTTGGCATTGGTTCATCCAATGTTTACTTTCCAAGCTCATTTTTATAACAAGAGGTCTCCTATTATTCTCTCCGTGTTGGTTGATACAGATTCGAGTTTATCTTCTATTGCTCGACCTGTTGCCACATGTTGTCGTCTACACTTGTGTCGTGAGGCGGATCCAATTTTCATTCTTTATGGCAACAGCCGTACACATGCATGTGCATGAGATGAGGTGGACCTGGTTGTGCATGTGGGCGATCTCAAGCTTGAGTTGCCGTCGTTGCGGGTAGTGCCGAGTCAAGCTTTTGACCTCATTCTTGGTATGGATTAGTTGCAGCACAATCATACCAAGTGTGACTTTGAGGCTTCTCCCCCTTGTCTCATACTTCCTTATGTTTCATCCATTCCTCTCACTTCTGTACCTCTTCGTCCCTCTACTTCTACCTCTGCTTCCATTACTTTTGTTCCCTCACTATTTCCTCCTATGTTTCCATCTTGTTCTGCACTTCCCTTTTCCAATCCCTCTGATGATCTTTGTGTTGCAGCTGTTGACCGGCTCATGAAGGAGTATTTTGATCTTTTTGAATTTAACCTATCGTCTGGGGCCAAGATTGCCACACGTTATCCGATTCCAACCGGGGATGCTCGTCCAATCAAGGTTCTTGTTCGTCATCGGTCACCCAAGGAGATCAAGATTTTACGTGCAAATGTCAAAGTGATGTTGGAAAAGGGTGTTATTCGGAAGTTGTGGAGTCCTTGGGCATGTGAACCTCATCTTGTGACGAAGCCTGATGGGAGTATTCGTTTCTGGATCAACTATCATCCATTAAATGAAGTGACGATCCCAGATGTGTACCCTTTTCCTCACACTACTGATCTCTTGGATCGTCTAGGGCAAAGTCATTGGTTCACCAAGCTAGATCTTGCTTTTGGGTACTGGCAAATACCGATGGCCAAAGAAGATATTCCTAAGACTGTTTTTCATACACCGTTTGGTTTGTACGAGTTCTTGGTGATGCTGTTTGGTTTGAACAATGCTCCAGCAACTTTTCAGCCGATGATGGATGAGGTTCTTTGTGATATGCCAGAGGTGACTGCTAGCTTCATTGATGATGTCTTGATTCACTCGGAGGGGATGTGGGAGGAGCATGTTCGTGATGTTTGTAAAGTGTTGGATCGGCTATGCGACATTGGTTTAAAGTTGAAGCGGTCGAAGTGCGTGTTTGGGTCCAAGGATACAACTTATCTTGGGTACCGTATTTCTCGTGAGGGTTTGCAAGTTGATCCTGACAAACTTGTGGCTGTTCTAAAGTTCCTTACTCCGAAGTGTGTGAATGATGTGTAGCGCTTCTTGGGCAAGGTGCAGTATCTCGGTCGTTTTGTGGATCATCTTTCTGATCGCACTGCACCGTTGCGAGCGTTGCTGAAGTCATCAACATCATCTTTCATCTGGTCTCTGGATTGTGAGCAGGCGTTCGGGGATCTCAAAGAGCTATTGACGACTCCTCTGGTTTTGGCATATCCTAACTACACTCAACCTTTTATTTTGCGCGTGGATGCTTATGACATTGGTCTTGGAGGTGTGTTGATGCAAGAGAGTTCGAGTGTGTCTGGTCAACGCCATCCTATTGCATATATAAGCCGTACATTACAACCAGCGGAAATGACCTACTCCACAATAGAGAAGGAGTGTTTGGCAGCAGTTTGGGGTTTCGAGAAACTTAATGCATATCTACATGGTTCTCAGATGTTACTTGAAGGTGATCATGCTGTTGTTATTTCATTATTGAAGCGGAAGAACTTGGTTGGTCGTACTGCTTGATGGGCTTTGAAACTTCAGATATATGATTTTGATGTTATTCATCGCCCAGAGAGTTCTATGGCTGATGTTGATGCCCTTTCTCGAGCTCCTTTTCCTTCTCCATTCTCTTCTCATGTTTCTGATGAGCCTGTTGTTCTAGCCTCTATGGATTTTCTAGACGAGGATTCTGTGCCATCAATGGTTGCTATACTTGACGTTCAGTGTCCACAAGACGCAGAGCAAGATTTACCTTCTCTTGATAAGGTTTGCGAGGCTCAAAAGATTGAGCCGTGGATTCGAAGGCTTCGAGATGGGTTTGAGAATCCTGCATCACTTGCTAATGACTTGCTTTTCCGGCATTTACATTCTCAATATCGCCTTGAAGACGGCCTTCTTTATTTTGTGGGGACGGATCCTAATGATCATTTATGGTTGGTGGTACCTTCTATCTTTATTCCACAGTTTCTCCATGCCTACCATAATTCTTCTGTTCTAGGAGGGCATATGGGACATCGTCGTGTAACCGAGAAGTTGCGCAGGTCTTTCTATTGGCCGGAGATGCGACGTGATATTATTCGGTATATGCGTAGCTGCGTTTGGTGCCAAACTCGTAATACTCCCTCTCATGCTGCAGAAGGACAGTTGGAGTCAATTGCAATTTCCCGTCCGTTTGAGTTGGTGGCATTTGATCTTATAAGACCTTTTTCACGGTCAACTGCTAGCAATGAGTATGTTATTATTGCTTCTGACTACTTGACTCGTTGGGTGGAAGTTGGTGCTCTTGCTAATGCCTTTGCAACTGCTGTTGGATACTTCCTCCTCAATCAAGTGGTGTTCCAGCATTCTTGTCCAGAGCGGATTCTTTCGGATAATGGTCCCGTATTTATGGCTAAGGCATTTCATGTTTTGACGTTTCGGTTGGGGATACGCCACACTTTCATGAATGCTTATCATCCACAATCAGACAGTCTGATGGAACGGCTCATTCGGATATTCAAGGGGATGATTGCGAAGTATATGAACTTTCAGCATTCAGATTGGGATGGTTATTTGCCGTCTCTTCGGTATGCATATATCACAGGGGTGCAGAGTTCTGTTGGTGCTTCACCATATAAACTCCTATATGGTCATGATCCAATACTACCAACGGAGCTAGGTTTACCTTCGCGATTGCCACGAGCTGTGGATGCTAAATCATGAGATCAGTATTTGACAAGCATTCTTCCACTTGTCCGAGTGGAGTCTACCGAACACTTAGGCCGCGTACAAGTGGGACAACAATGGCGGTACAATTCCCATCATTGTGCACCTGCAGAGTACAAAGTGGATGATTTGGTGTTAGTCTGTTTTCCCCATCTTACGGTATGTGGTTTATCTAAGGGGCTCCTTGCACAGTGGAAAGGACTGTATCGGGTGTTGCGGCAAGTTGGACCACAAGTTTATGAGGTTCAACATGATGTCCAGCAAGCCAATCCTCCAGAGATTGTGCATGTGCAACAGTTGAAACGCTTCATACAAAGGGATCAGGAGCAGTTAATACCACCTACAGATCCGCCGATGCCTCCTCCTAACATTCCTCCAGATCCCAGCTCGTCTACAAGAGAACCTTGATGGTCTTTCATTATTCCGAGAGGGGGAGATGATGTGAGGGCCAGGTATATGGCTACAATACCGTATATTAATATTAGTATAGTGGGATTTTCGTAGCCGTCGGATTAGTTTCAATCCGGACCACTCACTCCTATATATAAACTAGGGTTTTTGGGCTAATTGATATGCACATTTCTGTATTCCCTTTCACACTTATAATTATTTCTATTATTCTATTAATTAAATCTTGTTATTGTACTTTGGCATATGTTACATTGATAGAAAGTTAACCAGCCAAATGGACTCATCGCAGCTGCTTTTGCAGATTCAACATGAGCACATAGAGCACCGAGTCCCTTGGTTTCATCTCCAAGAGTTTCTCTGCAGCACAAGCTGCAACATCGATGTTCTTGCTGCTACCATGAACTTTGCAAGCGATGATCAAGCTCTTCCACGCGAGGAAATGCAGCTGGAAGGGCATCACCAGCAGCAGACCTTCAGCCTCGGCAACCAGCCCGGCTCGTCCCAGCACATCTGCCATCGCCTGGAAGTGAATCACATTTGGAGAAATGCTGTACTCGGCCACCATAGATCGAAAGTAGTCGAGTGCCACACGAAGCTTCCCACCGTGATTGCAAGTCAGGAGAATCGCCTGGAAACTTATCTCGTTTCTGGCCTCGCCCTCCATCGCCATGCTACCAAAAAACTCAGCAGCTTTTCACTCATGGCCATTCTGTGCGCAGCCATGGATCATCGCGTTCCACGACACAATGCTCTGATCAGGCAATGTGGAGAAGATCTTCCCGGCCTGCAAGAGATTCCCCCTTTGATCGCTCGCGGCAAGGATCGCTTTCCAGCTCGCTGTGTCTCTCACCGGCATGGCCGCAAAGAGATCCCGCGCTTGGACGAGGCAATTGCTCTGGATGTAAGCTCCCAGCATCGTGTTCCACGCGGCGCTATTGTGCTGTGGCATTTTGTCGAACAAGGCTCTGGCATCGATCAAGCTCCCGTGCAAAGCAATTGCCGCCACCATTGCCGTCCAAGCGACGAGATACACTATGACCACCGTTTCCTTTGTACTGCACAAATCCAATTGCCCCATGTACGCTTATTCGCCATTGCTCTATCTTGTCAGTCGAGAGATTTTACTGTATTCCAGGAAAACGCCGGTAAAAGCAAAGGAAATGATCGATGAGAGGAATCACAACCACGCAGACGTACCGATTGAAGCCTCTAGAACAGGCCGTGGACGATCTAGAGCGACGCGCGTCGTCGCTCGACGACGACTACGCGCAACTCCTCACAGCTTGCATCCAGGAAAGAGATTTGCGTCAAGGCGCCAGGCTCCACGCGCTCATCCTTGGCAGCAGCCACCACCAATCCAACAGGTACCTCGCAAATCTTCTCATCCAGCTCTATGGAAGGTGCGAGCGCCCGGCTCGAGCATGGCAGGTGTTTATCAGCATCCACGAGCCCAACAGATTCTCCTGGAACTTGATGCTTGGCGCTTATGCCCACAATGGGTATCTTGAGGAAGCCAAAGAGCTGTTTGACCAGATGCCACAAAGGGATATTGTTGCATGGGTCACTGTAATCACGGCTCATGCAAACCGTGGAAACTTAGAGGAATGCCAAGCATTGTTTGATCAGGTTCCTGAATGGGATGTAGTTTGCTGGAACTCGCTACTTACAGCATATGCCCATAACGGGCATATGGATCAGGCAAGCCAGGTTTTTGATGGAATGCTAGAACACAACATAGTTTCTTGGACTGTTATGGTTACTGGGTATGCAAGAAAAGGTCTTGTTAACGATGCGTTAAATTGGTTTATGAGAATCCCCGAAACCAACGAGCTGGGATGGACTGTTCTTGTCACTGCATATGCCCAGATTGGGCATATTGAAAAATCCAAGGAGCTTTTCAGTAAAATGCCACACCGCGACATAATCTCGTGGAACGCAATGCTAGCGGCAGCATCCAGCTTGCAAGAAGCAAGGTCTCTGTTTGATGCCATGCCACAGAGGAACGTTGCATCGTGGTCGACAATGATCACAGCACTGGCCGAGAGAAACCAGCTCGAAGAAGCTTGCATTCTCTTCGATCAAGCTCCTTATCACGACGACGTGGTGTGGACTGCCATGATTTTGGCCTACTCCAACCACGGCCACCTCGAAGAAGCCATGAAGATGTTTGCACGGATGCCACAGCGCGATCTCGTCGCTTGGACGGCAATGGTGGCGGCAATTGCTTTGCACGGGAGCTTGATCGATGCCAGAGCCTTGTTCGACAAAATGCCACAGCACGATAGCGTCGCGTGGAACACGATGCTGGGAGCTTACATCCAGAGCAATTGCCTCATCCAAGCGCGGGAGCTCTTCGCGGCCATGCCGGTGAGAGACACAGCGAGCTGGAACGCGATCCTTGCCGCGAGCGCTCAAAGGGGGAATCTCTTGCAGGCCGGGAAGATCTTCTCCACATTGCCTGATCGGAGCATTGTGTCGTGGAACGCGATGATCCATGGCTGCGCACAGAATGGCCATGAGCGAAAAGCTGCTGAGTTTTTTGGTAGCATGGCGATGGAGGGCGAGGCCAGAAACGAGATAAGTTTCCAGGCGATTCTCCTGACTTGCAATCACGGTGGGAAGCTCCGTGTGGCACTCGACTACTTTCGATCTATGGTGGCCGAGTACAGCATTTCTCCAAATGTGATTCACTTCCAGGCGATGGCAGATGTGCTGGGACGAGCCGGGATGGTTGCCGAGGCTGAAGGTCTGCTGCTGGTGATGCCCTTCCAGCCACATTTCCTCGCGTGGAAGAGCTTGATCAGCGCTTGCAAAGTTCATGGTAGCGGTAAGAACATCGATGTTGCAGCTCGTGCCGCAGAGAAACTCTTCGAGATGAAACCAGGGGACTCGGCACTCTACGTGCTCATGTCAAATCTGCAAAAGCAGCTGCGTCAACCTTTATAACTTTAACAAGATTTAGTGAATAGAATAACATAATGCAGCGGATGGCTGAAGCATGGACCACTTTCTGGTCATGTGCTCCCGTTGTTGATCATTACTGCTGCATGATCGATCTATTTGGGCGTGCTAGGCAGGTCTGGAATGCCCAAGAGATTGTCAAGAACTTGCCAGTGAGAAGAGACTACTTTGCTTGTTTGCAGGTGACTTGAAGTGGCCGTACTGAGTCTGTGGTCAAAATGGAAGACAAGAACTTTACATCTGGTTTGTGTTCAGTATAATATCATCCAAGTTCTGTGGAACTTTGAGTCAAACTCTTGTAAAGTTTTGGCAATGCTAGAGTGACTTTTGAGATAACGATTTGAAGGTTGGAGAAGCATTATAGAAAGAAAAAAAAAAGAATTGGCAAACACAGAACCACTTTTACTCAAGAGATAAGAAATAAGTGAATTCATCCCAAGACAACTCTCTAGACTCCATCTAACATTTTGTGCTGCCTTGAGCTATAAATGTGACCCCCTCCTGCCTCACAGGTCAAATCATTTCTCTCTAGTATACAAGCCTACTTGATCTTAGTCTGAGCAATAAATCATAAGGACCAAGGCTTTCTTGGTGCTTAAGATCATAGAGAGATAGAATATTCTAATTTCTAGAATATTCCCTATCCTGGAGAACATTGGGCATTTCTCGTGTTTGAGTGAATGTTGGCATTCCCCCAACAAAGATATCCATCCATGAATGTCGTCCAGTCCAAGCTCTATAAGGCATCTTGTCTTGAACAACTGTAATTAACACCCTATTACACATAAAGACAACTGTGGCTATAGCACAATCCCAAAACTTGGGAGGAAGACTAACATCAACTATGATCATCCTAGCTAGCTCTATTCAGGAGTGTTTGGAACTCCTCCATTAGAGTAGAGCACTTTGATATGCAAATCAAGCTAGTTCTACACTTCATGCTTATAAACTTTAAATGTAGGCAAATTTTCCTTAGTACATACCTTATAGCTTTATCTATGAATGAAATAAATTACCTCTTAAATGGACTATACAAGTCCAAGTGCACCAGCTCGAGAGGACCTATCATATGAATACTCGTGCTAAAGTTGAACATGCTTGCCCATTATGCATGGTTTGCATAATAGCATTGAAAATGGTGTGATGGCTAAGCCTTCAACCATATGGTCTTGTTGCAATTGTTGAATCATTTTGTAGTTTATATGGCAAAGCTGATGATGCCAGGTTTGGATATCTACAACTCCTTCTAAAGATGAACTCACAGTAGCCACTATCATCGTATCTAGCAACTTCCTTAGGATATAAACTTCATAATCCATCTGGAAAAACCATCCTATCTTACTTGCAAAAGCCACATATCCAACCTCTAAATGTATGATCTTGACACAATCATCGTGTCAAATCTTTACTCCAACATTTGTCCGAGGGACACCAAGAAATGTTGAGCCTTGGGAATGTACCACACATGCTTGACTGGAACCACCAAGTCTATTAGTAGTCACACTTGAATTGTGCCTACACCTTTAACTGTTAACAAGCTATTAGCTATGAGTTGCACTTGGCTTGTGCATTGCCTTAGCTCTAAGAATAACTCTTACTCAAAAGTTGAATAATTTTGTAACAATAATTCATGGGACAATCCCTACTCAGGTGCCCATGCTTTGAACATATCCTCCTTACTGTTGGAGCATTTGCTTCCAAGTCAATTAAAAACAGAGGAGCACCCTTCTTATGCTTGTTGATTGCCATGAGTCATCATGGCAATCTCTTCCTGCTCAGCAGATTTGCCTTTGCCAACGATGGTCTTCTCATACTGCATGAGCTCAGCAAAAATTTGCCACTGGATGGTGTCGGGAATTTTCTTGATGCATCTAAGATATGAGACTTCATGGCACCAAGTTGCAAGGCCTTTACAAAAGACAGCATTGAACTCTTGATATGTAACACCGCAATCTGGATCCAGTAGCAGAATCTCCACCACCTTACACAAGATCCAGGTGATGTAATCTTGTACTTGCTCATTGGGCTGCTGCTCCAAGCTGTAGAGTTCCTTGTGATAAAAAATCACGTCTACATCCTCTTATAGATCTACTTCCATAATCTCACAAATTGTAATCCAATTGTGAGTAGAAGTCTTTTCCACATTCATGTGGACACTATAGAGAGGGCCAAATCCTCTTCCTAAAGCTCCATTCACCCTGACATCTAGATCTTACCACTTGTTTTATTTATCGATATTTTCTTCCTACAGGTCAAAGTCCCCACCCCATAAACTAGAAATATACACATTCTTTCTAGTTGAGAAAATTCGTCCTATAAAATTGCTCCATTTCTTTGGAGGAATGAAGACAATGCCATCCTGTCCTAGCATCTAAAGCACTACTTGTGCCAAAAACAATTCTAACCTACGGCTCTAATACCATGTGAAGAGAAGCCAAGCGTCTTGAACTAGTGCTAAGTAAAAGATGATTTGGTTCTCTTTAAATAATTTTGCATGAAGGAATGCCACCCTGTCATTTTCATAAGTGAATACCCTAGGAGACAAAGCCGGGAGTTAATGAGAACATCCACTAGGAAGTGTTTTCACCTTGATTTGGTTGCTTAAGCTTTTCAGGAAGCTTGGGATGCTCAAGCTGGTTGGGTTGGCTGCTAGGTTGCTACTTGTGCTACACTGTATGGATCTCAAGCACCTCGGGTTACATTGGATGGGCCTTATAGTGCTTGGGCTGCACAAGATCCTAGTGCTACTTGGGTTCTAGTTCGTGATTGAAGTTGTTGCTAATGTCTTGGCCAGCTTCTGAGCCTCCAAAGTTGTTTTCAAAATCTGGTTCAAAATCGTTGAGAGTTGTGTACTTGGTCCAAAGTGAGTGTCCATGGCAATCTTGTTCAACAACCACAAACCACTTGCTCTGAATCCAGATTGTATGTTTGCAGGTGTTATAGCCATAGCCATAGCTCAGCTGGATAATTGCAATTGACTTTGTGTCCAAGATGTCCAAGAGTGTGTTCATCCATGCACTGTCAAAAGTAATGCTTGTAGGGGCTGATGTCCAAAGGTTGCATGTGGTGAGATGGGTAGTAATATCACGTCCACGCCTAACAGTGTTGCTGTTTCCAGGACAAGTTTGGTACCTGTGGCCATCAACAATGAGAGTGTGGCAGTTGTAGGTGAGCATCCATTAGGGATTGATTTCATAAAGGTTCAAGCCAATAGATTTTCTATTATTCAAGCTTTCTTAGTGATGGCGAATGTAGCTCCCACTTTGTAATCTGCAATCCAGTTTTGCATCCTCCACTTGCCTTTGAAGATAAAGAATCCAGGTAGCAGCATTCACTGCCACAAGAGCAGTCATGTGCTCATGTTGTTTGGGAGTGCCTCGGGTGTCCAAAACTTTGACACCTCTAGAACAATTAACTCAGACACTAGTTTTGTCAACATTCCAGATGTGATTTGGCTCATAACTGCTTGCAGCATAAGAAGCATCAAGATTCTCATAGAATCATGATGCAACTTCTTTGCTTAGGAACTTTGCATGTTGGAGCTCCAAGGCCTTTGCAAGCTTGCTACTGATCTCTGGGTGCCATTTCATGAAGCTACTGCTCCACTTTCGGCTTGGTTCTCTGTCCGTCCAGCTAGTGCTATAGATGCCTGGAAACAACAAGAAGAGAAGTAAGTTGGGCTTCTCTTTCTTTTATATTTAACCTTTGCAGGTCTGGGACATGGCTTTCACTGACAAGAGCTGCCTGACAATTTTTCTGCAGAACGGGCTGAAAGTGGTTTAATTAAGACCTCAAAGGACCTCTAGATGCAATGATGGCCCAGAACGGGATAGCCTCTGGGAGCTGCAAGTGTTTGCACACGAGCTCTTCATGTAACAGTAAATTTTGTGATCGGATCTAGAAAATATAAAAGAAAAACGAAGTAGAAGATTGGGGCTGACTATGAAGCTGTTAGATTTAACTATGTAACTGGAGATTGGCTTGTGCCAATGCCTTATGATCCTTTTGGAGCTGCTAAAGATTTTACTGTAAAAGTTGAAGGCACATCCATCTTCTGTCACGACCTCGTTGGTATATGAGAGAGAGAGAGAGAGAGAGAGAGAGAGTGCGAGCTCGCTCTATATATGAATGAATGATGGTGTTGATCACTCTAAAGGATCAATGCCAGGAGACCTTATACATACATTTGAAGCTTCATGCATGCCACCTTAACAGCATGCCAAGTCGATGCAAAAAGAGTGGAGCCAGGATAACATGATGTGTGCCATGTACTTAAATGAGTGTCAAGACATTGTAGTAACTTGTATCAAGCTCCCAAATCTCATATCTCATAACAAATGATAAAAGGCAAAGAGCTAGCACACCAATTGCTTGAGCTTGCCATAGTTGGGAGATTGGCTAGGCTCTCACAGAAGCTTGCCAAGATTCCTTTAAGTCAATATATCTCTGATGGCTTCCAAGCAGAGAAAAGCTCACTAAAGTTTGGATATGCAGATGCCACTCCATCAAAAACTTGTTAATATTCAGGGGAATATGCCGACAAGCTGAAGAGTCAACGGTCGCGACAGTTAGACTGAGATAGATTATAACAGCGTGTTATCAATTCAATCTCTAGTCGAGTCGATTCGTTTCATGGTATCGGAGCTCAGATTCTGATCAAGACGAGTTTCCCGGGAGGGTGAAGAAAAAAACAAAGGATGAGGATCCGGTGGACACCTTGAAAGCAGAGCGCAAGGATTGGGATGCCAAGAACGACAAGGCATTGGGCATCTTAGGTCGCGCTCTGGCAAAAAGATACAGGAGCCACCTGAACATGGAGGATACAGCGAAGGCGAATTGGGAGAAGATCTGCCAGGTTTTTGGCACATGCAGCAGGGCACGGTTGATCGATCTGAAAACCCAGTTCAACGGGTGTCAACAGGGCAGTAGTTCAGTAAATGACTATGCCAGTCGCCTTATGGGCCTTGCACAGCAGATCACTGACG